ACGGCTCCCGTGGAAAGCCGGGGTTAGAAACTGACAAGTTAAAGAAAATGCAATGGTGATCTGAAATATACATGTCCTCAGGACAAACACTGTCAGCATTTAGACCCAGGGTAAAAACAAGGTCCAGAGTGTGTCCCCTGGTGTGTGTGTGTGTGTGTGTGTGTGTGTGTGTGTGTGTGTGTGTGTGTGTGTGTGTGTGTGTGTGTGTGGGGCCAGAAACATTCTGGGTAAAGCTGAAGGAGTCCATGAGGCTAGAGAATGTCACAGCAAAGTGGTCTGAGGGATCATCTACATTGATGTTAAAATCACCAACAATCACCAGTCTGGACAGCTTCACAGTGGAGGATAAAAAGTCACTAAACTCCTGAAGGAAAGAACTGTTTGGACCAGGTGGACGATAGACCACAGCACAGTAGGACGGGTCCGTATGCCCAACTTTAATCAGCTGCAGTTCAAAGGAAGCAAAGCGACCAGAGGTTGTAGAACTACATGGTAGATGGTCTCTAAAAATAACAGCTAGATATCTACCACGACCAGAACCCTGGGGCTACCTAAGGAAAGAATAACAACTCGGGCAGAGTTCAATCAGACCAGAATAATCAGATGTTTGCTGCCAAACTTCAGTCTGAAACAGAAAGTCCAGGTTTTAGAGAGATCGAGATCATTAAGCAGGAAGGACTTATTGTTAACAGGGCGGGTATTTAATAGAGCCATGCTGAGTGAGGTGGAGGAATCAGAAACTACAGAAACAGCTGGAGTTAGTCGACGTAAGGAGGTGAAAAGGAGGTGGTCAGTAAAGAAACGTTAGAAAAAGTGGCCGGTGAATGCAGCTAAACCAAGCACAGGTGTCATCTTGTTACCGACCAAAGATGAGTGATAAAGCTTTGTCAATATTAGCACTTCCAGACTAGTAATCCACCATAATCCGGACATCTTGCATTTGTTTACTATAATTAAACGTATTTACACATTGTCAGCTCAGCAGGAGAACTTCTGCCTCATCTTGCTGCATATATAGAGTTCCTGACTGAAAGGAAACACACAAAGGCTAATTTTAAGTGATTTTGTTAGCAAAAAAGCTTGTTTTGTTTGTGTGTTTGTGAACTTATTGCTCCCATTAGAAATTCATTAGAGTTTAAATGCCAAAGCATGCACCGTCTCTGTTTTAGTGAGGCCTCTTTGTGCTTACTCGGCCATCTGAGGCCAGTTTTGTGTCTGGTCATAATAACAACCTGCAACGAGCTTTGCGTATGCGCTATGCAGACTCAAACAAATAAAGAACCATCAAACATCATATTAAGATGGAAAAACTCTGACATTATAACAACCAACAACAGCATTTATCGGACAAAGCTCCACAGCGTGTACTTAAGCTGGAAAAGCTCCACCCATATAAAACAGCACATTTTCATATTCCAAAGCAGCACACCGTTTTCAATGTGTCAGTAAACCTAGCATCCTTCACACGGGGGATGGACACATGAAGCAAACTGCTGGAGGCAACAGCGTGACAGCGAGGAATGTTACTGGCATTGTACCCAGTCGACCCAGCAAAGCAAAGTGGTAGATTTCATCAGCCCCTTCCTCTGCCCCCACCCCCCCCCCCACCCCCCCCACCCCCACCCCCACCACACACCACACACAAACACACACACACACCATTTTATTTATCTCTGTGTTTTAATCTCTTTAAGCCTCGTCAGAGTCTGTTTCTCTCCCCTGCTCTTTTCAGCAGAGGCGGTTTTACCATTAGGCATAGGTAGCCGGCCGCCTGGGGCCCCCTTGTGTTGGGGGCCCCCCTAGCCCTGACCGCCGGCACCCCTCTGTTAATGCCACAATATTCTTATTACCAACCTGTCACCGCAGACGGGATTGGACATGTGCACTTCTCATTACCATAATTCCTGAACCGTTCAAGATATCTGTAAAATTCCAAAAGTGCTGAAAAGATTAAAAATGGGGCTTTTCGTGCATATAAAATACATTCCGGTAGACACCGGGATTTCCTGTCTTGAGCGCAACGAATCACAACACAGATTCAGAGACGTGCTGAGTTTGTCATCCAAAATGCTCCATTTTGTAACTTTTGAATGGCTGATCAGATTCAAAGAATCCCAACAGTTCCTAAAAGTACATAAAAGCAGCTTTCCAACGATCTATAGCATGAAGCAATCAGTTATGGAAATCCTGCTGTACAGCCTGATTCAAACGGAGCCCAGTGGAGCGCAGCGCCGCGGTGAAAACGGATAACGGAACGGGGAAGCTAATTATCATAAAAAGCCAGCATGAAATTATGGAAATGCCTCAAAGAAAATCAACACGATCTATTAGGTGTCCCAGAAGGCTTATATCTGAAGACAGTGACCACGAAGAAGGACAGATCTCCAGTGAACCAGGGTATGAATGTTTGTTCAGTCTTTTTTTTTTATTTGAACAACCCTCAACTATTTGCTAATTGTAAGATTCAGCTTCATTCCAACATTATTTATCTTTTTACAATAGATAAATATTTTTGCTAAAACAAAAGTTTTTGGCACGGTGTGCAAGAGAAGCACCCCATGGCAGTGTCAGGTGTGCAGGACTCTGCCTGCAGCTGGAGAGAAACTGCTTCAAGGCCTACCACATCAAATAATAACGTCTGAAAGTTTACAAAAATAAATGGTCTTAAAACAGCTAAAAAAAGATACCAAGGTTCAAACTTTTTTAAGAATAGATGCATTACAGTTCAAAGTTTAAATTGTTTGCACAGTAATTTTGAAGTTCCTGTTCAGTAATAAATGTAAAAAATTCAAATCCATTTTTTGCTTTTTTCACTTCTAAGCTGATTTTTTAAAGGCTTTAATAGAAATAAATTCTAAATACAAACCATACACTGAAAGTGGAAGTTGTTCTGAAAAAAGGAGAGTGTTACACACACTTTGCACTTTTTATTACAATTTTATAGCCATAAGAAAAAATACCAGGCGGCCCTGTTATAATTATGGTCATAAGAGGGTTATTAAGACGGCGATAAACAAACAGGAAGTGATTGGTAGTCATTCCACTCCAATCCAGTTGGTGGCAGTAATGCACCAAATTGTTGTTTGCCAAGTGCCATAAGACCACAAATAAGAAGAAGAGAGGCGGGAGCGTTCGTAACAAACTCAAAGTGATAGTCAAAACATGAAGCATGACATGGAGTGGCTCCAACAAGAGAAAGAAGCAGCTTGCTTCATAAAAGCTTTTATTTTCACTTCTGAAAGTGACGTCGTTTTTCTATGTAAACATCAAAGGAAGCAGAAAAGGAAAGAAAATGGAAAATGTTTAAAGGGAGGAAAACATGGACCAAAATGGAAAATAGAAAAAAAAGGCAAAAGCACAGGAGCGCTGACAGGAAGAAGAAAGCAGAGCAAATACTGAAAGCACTCAAAAGGAGGGAAATACAGGAAAAAAGAGGGGGACTAATAAAAAGGGGAAATAACTCATGTCAGAAGAGGGGAGAGTTTCGCAAATCCAGTTAAAGATAAGATTGTCGAAAATTTTGTGTAAGGGGCCCCATGTCTGTGTTCGCCTTGGGCCCCCAAATTGCTAAATCCGCCTCTGCTTTTCAGTAGATAAACTGTGGCTGATTGGTGGAGCTGACAACCGCACAGTTACTGTTGCTCTTTTATCTGCCATTAACAACTGTCCCCCGCCCACGATGGGGCACATTTCTGCACACTCAGATCAAAACTCAACCCTAAGCCCGCTGATGGGTTTTACATTCCTAAAGACTTGTGAATAGTAATGAATGATTAACCAAAGGGGTGGTGGGAGGGGAATGGGACTGATTTATTTGCTGTGGCACCCAAGTGTGTCATTCTAACCCATCCAGTGGTTTGTGAGATGTTTTTCTAACAAACAAACATCTTGAGCAACCAGAAGTCATGGTGTGTAGCTGGGATGCCTAAGCAACCATCAGACCAGATTTCAGCTCAACATCCAGTTGTATTAAGCTTTGTCTGCCACCTTAAATCAGGTCGGCTCTGTGGGTTATTTTTCTGCAGATGAACATCAAATGTTTCATTCTGGAGATTTTCATTAAAATGACACATTATTAGAGCTCGCAGACAAACATGGCCGACTCCATAGGTTTTACCCTTGAGTATGTATAATTGAAGTAATTATAACCGATGTTGTGTTTGCTGATGTTGATAAGCTGTGTTGCCATTTTGATACTGTTTGACTCTGATAGCAGTTGTAGATGTTCATCCAGTGATTGTTTTCTGAGAATTTGGTTAAGAAAATGTCCAGAGGTTCATGAGATAGTTTGCAAACACTACAGGCACATCTGCACATGCTCAGAAACAGCTGGCCGCTTTGGCTCCTGTGGCACTTATAATTCACCCAAAGAACTTCCAAAATAAAGACAGAGCAGCCTAAACATCAATGCTGACGCTCAATGCTACAGCTTGGCAGACTCATCATCATCTCTCAGGTGTCCCTGATGTCATCTGCTGGTAGTGTCAGTGTGCAGGCACAGCTGCAGGCTAAGCACGTGTTCACAATATGACATAAAACTGTTACGTGTGTGTGTGTGTGTGTGTGTGTGTGTGTGTGTGTGTGTGTGTGTGTGTGTGTGTGTGTGTGTGTGTGTGTGTTCTACACAGAGCAACTGCAAAAATGTCGTCAAAAGGGGCAAAATCTACATCAAATGTCTCCAACTTAATTTTAAAACGTAATTTAATTTATTTTTCATTTCTGAATTTGTCTATAAAACATCAGGGGGGGAGGGGGGGGGGGTTAGATGACGATCAAAAGTGACTTATCTGCTAAACTGAATGAAAATCGAAAATTTAATCGATTTGTTCGTAGAGTTGCATGCAGATCGGGCCAGTCAACACCTGCCGGGGCTGGACTGGTCTGTTCTGGCTCACTTCCAGTTGGACCACACTCAAAAGGTGTCAACCGACCTCCCACCAACAAATTAGTTTTAGAGTCCAGGCGTCAACGCCGCATCCAACAGAGCCAAATCCACTTACCCGGTGAGATGTTTCCACTTGAGCCCTTCAGCAACAAAAAGCAAAGTTTCAAATTAAAAGTAGAAAACAGTAAGTTTCCTTCCTCCGGCTCAATGACACGAACTTCCAACACCTGAGAAGCCTCCGCCGGTTTAGAGGTGCGTCACATGAGCGCAGCAGCAGGACCACGCGGCGCTAAACTGCCCAGACTTTGTTTAAAGTCCGCTAAACTTTGCGTCAGACGGAGAGCCGCAGCCTCCCTCTTGAGTGTAGAAGCAGCTTTCTTCCTCGCCGCTTTGCCTCGCGTCTAGAGCCGTGTGTGAGGAGGAGCACGGAGCGGAGGTTACCTGACTCCGCGGCGAGGCCAGCCCTCCACAGAGCGGCAGCAGCAGACTCAGGTTTCCTGTTGTTCTTACGCACGCAACGTGAGTCCCGCGCGTGCATCACTTACTAAAAACACCTTTACGACCCTGAAGCAGCTTTTTAACCGCAGATCACCGCGACTTGCCCATATTTTTATCCTTATGCAGCCTAAATGGACAGTCCAGATGTTTTAGTGTGTCTGTGGAATATGTCGAATAGCCTCAGTTTGGAGAAATTTAGATTTAGTTCTGAAGGGATTGACAAGCTAACAGCTAGTCAGAGCAATCGGTTACAAAGCTGCTACCTATAACGCATCACTGAAATAGATGTAAATTATTTATATTCAGCAGTAAAACTGAATGAACAATTGGATGGATTTATTTTAAATTTGCATTGTAGCAGTGTTGGCATTGTACAAGTTATGAAACACATCAATTGAAATTGGAATGGATTGAAGCTGATACTTATTTTGTCCTTCATGCAATTATATAAGACAGAAGTAAAAATAAAATGCAAAATAATACAAAGAAACATCAAATTAAAAGAAATAATAAAATAAAAAATAAAGGTAAAACTAAGTTAAATTTTAAACATTTTTTGATCAAATTAAATAATAAATAATTTTTGGCCAATACAAAAAAATGTCTAAATAATGGAATGAAAGTAGTTAAAGGTGCAGTATGTATGAATATAGTGATAATTCCACAATGCGAAAATCCCAAAGATTCTAATATTTCAGTCATTTTAGAAGGAAGGTTCTACTGAAACATATCTCACATCCAGGTGACTGTGGGGATTATCAGGTTTTCTCCTTTCAAAACAAAGGAAGGAAGGACCTAATTACTGTTTACCATCAGTAAGTGTGGGGTTGCCATGTCTCCTGCGAGCTAATACAGTGTTTAAGGTTTAGTCATCGGTCCTGCAGCCCAGAGAGAGAAACTTTTACCAAAGCTACAGTCACTTACTTTTAATCTGTCTTCTCAAGTGAACAACTTGGGCGTGATTTTTGACTCTGAGCTAACTTTTATGCCCCACATTAAGAACACTGCAAAAATAGGTTTAATCACCTGAAAAACGTTGCCAGAGTCCGCCCCTTTCTCTCTCTGGCCTAAACAGACATGCTGATGTATGCTTTTATCACCAGTATAATTGATTTCTGTAATGCCCTGCTTTCTGGTCTTCCCAAAAAGAGTACCTCAGGTTTACAAAATCTTCAAAATTCAGCAGCACGTGTCCTGACGAAGACCATGGCAAGAGCACATTACACCTGTTGTAAACAAGCTGCGTTGGCTTCCTGTACGTTTCTGGATCGATTTTAAGGTTATTTTAATGGTTTTAAAATGTCTTAATGGTCTTGGGCCTTCTTATGTCTCAGAACTTCTTCATAAATATGAGCCTCCACGGTCCCTGCGCTCCTATGGCAGCCATCTCCTCGTCATTCCAAAAGTCAGGACACACTCCCAAGGTGAGGCATCCTTCCAGTTTTATGGCCCTCATCTCTGGAACAGTCTGCCAGAGGACCTCAGGGCCTAAGGCTCTGTCCAAACGTAGCCGGGGATCTGCCAAAACGTAGATATTTTTCTACGTTTTGGCCTGTCATCCACACGAAAACGGAGTTTTTTCACACGAAAACGGATCTTTTTAAAAACTACGGCCAAAGTGAAGATCTGCGTTTTCTCTGTTTTGGGTGTCTGCGTGTGGACAGACAAAACCGGAGTTTTAAGGTCCGCAACGTCACTTTCCGCGACAAAAAAATGCTGACATCACGTGTGCGACCTGTGTTTACACTAGCCGACAGCATGGATGCCCTCAGAGCTGCGCTCGCTTTATCAACTGTCCAAGCGCTTTTTGCTTGTTTGTTTTTGCAAGCGGAATTACTGCTCCTTGTGGAAGGCCACAGACGAAGGACGAGGTTAAGAACGGGGGAAGTACTGCCGCCTACAGGTCTGGCATGTCCTTAACAACATATTTATCCGGGTATGTGTGGACAGAGTTTTCTTTTTGAAATGAGGTGGTGTGGATGCAAGTTTTTGGAGGGGCGGATATTCGTTTTTTTTTAAACCTGGCTACGTGTGGACTAGGCCTTAGAGAGTGTTCTTGTTTTTAAGGCCAGGCTCAAGACTCGCCTTTTTAGTATAGCTTTTAGCTGATTTTCATCTATTTTAGCCTGTTTAAAATATTTTATCAGTGTTTTATTACTTACTCTTTTACTTAAATGAGAGAAATGCTCTTTAATGTAAGTTTTAACTAGTTTTAACCTGTAATAATAATTCGTTTTAACCAGTATTAATAATCTGTATGACAAAATGTGTTTATATTTAATTGTATGTTTCTACATGGTTATCTTTTATCAGTGAGTTTTATTTAGATTTGTATTTATCAGGTGTTTATGCTTAATTTGATTCTTAACTTGTTATCTTAGTCTCATTAGATTTTACCAGTGTTTCCTGTGTGGGGGCTGGCTGCCCCGGGTGCTTCTCGTACCTCCTCTTGGTGCCATGTGGTGGTGACCGGGCTGCTGCTGCCGATCCTGCTGCTCACGGTGCAGTTGGCTCCTTTGATAGCGTTTCCGTCCTCTTTGTGCCTACTTCACACTCAGCCAGCTGCCCTTTCATTTTTGCTTGTGTGTGTGTGTGTGTGTGTGTGTGTGTGTGTGTGTGTGTGTGTGTGTGTGTGTGTGTGTGTGTGTGTGTGTGTGTGTGTGTGTGTGTGTGTGTAGGGATTTGGATGGGATTGAGGGTGGGAGAGGGGAGATACAGAAGGGATCGGATGTTAATCTGTGTGGGAGGGGTGGGAAACTGACTGCTGTGTGCTTGTTATTAATAAAGCACTTTGAGCTGCACTTGTTGTATGAAAAGTGCTTCATAAATAAAATTTGATAGATTGATTGATTAAATGATGATTGATTGATTGACTGATTGATTTATTGGTTGAATATCAACAACTGTAATTTGATGACGGCTGGCAAAAAGCTCCAGAGTTGTTTAAAGAGGTTGCAGTAACCAAATTTTTCCACAGGATGTAATTTTTACTTCATTTCTACATAATGCACCTTTAATACTAGTGATGTGCCAATACTTTTGGAAATATATAAAGAAGATTGAGTGTAAATTATTAGAATAATATTCAATTAATTACAAGCAGTTATAGTTTGATTTAACTAATATGTTAGTTAGAATTATATATTGTTTTTTGTTTGTTTTTTGTCTTTTTTACAAGTGAAACTCAAGAAATTTGAATATTGTCCAACGTTAATTTATTTCTATAAAGCAAAAGGGGCAAAAATCAAGTATTGAGTGCATCTGCATGATGATACCTTTCAAACGGCTACCATTTAACATTCTTGTTTTATTGATTTCATGTAAAAATCCAAATTGTTTTAATTTGGAGATTCCATACACTGTAAATGAATAATCTTCACAATTATAACAAGTAAAGGCTTGACATCTCTGGCTTTACCTGTAATGACTCTTTCTCATTTATTACTTTCATCATTCAATTTGAATTAATTTAATAAATTAACTTTTGCACCACATTCTAATTTTTCCAGTTTCACTTGTAATGTGTAGATTTAGCTTTTGCCATAAAACTATTGTGTCATATAAAAGAGTTCTGAGATAGGTACTTTGTTTTTATTGTCTTCATCTTCTAGGCATTTATTTAAGGGGGATGGAGAAACTTCCATTAGTGCACTTCACTCCTGAAATGATATGGAGATGTTCCAGAGGGCTGGTGTGCATGCATGCAATTGTCTACAGCAATAATCTTAGATGCTCACCACCCAGGAATAGCATTTATTATATAGCCAGCATTATAGCATTATTTTTAGCATCTTTTTTCATACTACAACGCTAAATCACCCCGCAGTCACTAAGTAGCAGTAGTGCTCAGACTAATCGGCAGGCTGCCTGTTTAACCCAGCAGAAGAAGCAACATATAAACACACAGGAGCATGGAGGTGGCGGAGGAAACAGCAGAGGCGACGGAGCAAGGGACAGTTGTGACCGAAAAAGCCAAGAAAATTAGGCCTAGTCCACACGTAGCCGGGTTTTTTTTTAAACGAATATCCGCCCCTCCAAAAACTTGCATCCACACCACCTCGTTTAAAAAAATCTGTCCACACGTACCCGGATAAATACGTTGTTAAGGACATGCCAGACCTGTAGGCGGCAGTACTTCCCCTGTTCTTAACCTCGTCCTTCGTCTGTGGTCTTCCGCAAGGAGCAGTAATTCCGCTTGCAAAAACAAACAAGCAGAAAGCGCTTGGACAGTTGATAAAGCGAGCGCAGCTCTGAGGGCATCCATGCTGTCGGCTAGTGTAAACACAGGTCGCACACGTGATGTCAGCATTTTTTTGTCGCGGAAAGTGACGTTGCGGACCTTAAAACTCCGGTTGTGTCTGTCCACACGCAGACACCCAAAACAGAGAAAACGCATATCTTCACTTTGGCCGGAGTTTTTAAAAAGATCCGTTTTCGTGTGAAAAAACTCTGTTTTTGTGTGGATGACAGGCCAAAACGTAGAAAAGTATCTACGTTTTGGCAGATCCCCGGCTACGTGTGGACAGGGCCTGAGACGAAGCCTCCATAAACCCCAGATGAACTTTGAACGGTTGGAAATTATGAAAAACCCCAGTAGTGGCTGGTGAAGAAACTGCTTGGTGAAGCTAACTGGCTAGGAGACTTATTTACATTCTCTAGAGTGGGCGTGACAGAAAATAATAGAGAATAAGTCTCCTCCCTTTCCGGTCGGCTCATGGGTCATCGGAAGTTTGAAAAAATGAACACAAGTCAACGAGGCTAAAGGAGCTATTTCTTAATCAGTTTTGACTCACGCCCTGGATCACACATATGTTGTACTTCAATTTAAATGAGTAACCATGTGTGTTTCGACCACGCCAGTCACATAATTTGCGATTTATCAGCTTGTAAATGTTTGTAATTAGCAAGACTACAAATCAGATGTCAGTACGTCACATGTATATGACGTCACCACAGAATCTCCTCTTCCCCAGCGTATCTTACCACATTGCCAGATCTATGGTGG